ATGTGTTTTAATAGTGTCAGTGGAAAGTAGAAGAGTACAATATATGCAGAAAAAGAAACTGTGCCAAATTATTGTTCTTGGTAATAAAAGGCTGACTTTTGTGTGCTGACCAGTCACATAGTTATGTTAGTTTGTCACTCAGTAATGAGAAAGAATTGGGTCACTGTGTAATTTGACTCTTATGTATTTTCCTTAATGTGTGAAAAAATGCATTTTATGGCATCAAAAGTACATTTGGATATCATCCAAAAGCCACTTTGGACAAGATAATAATTTCTTCAAATTACAAAGCTGATGGCTGCATGTTTTTGTCATTTAAAGTGTTGTGGCTGTGGGTAGGTGAACACCTCAGGTGGTAGAAGAATAATCTGGTTTATTAATGGACGCAGACTTAGTTACATGGAGTCGAAGGTACATGTAAACAGCTACTGAGTACGGCCAGCAGCAAGGTTATTCCCTGCATGAAGCCAAAGAACAAGTTTGTATGAACACTAATTATTCAAGCTAATAATACAACAGAAAGGGTTATGTAAACATCCCAGTTTATGTGTGTTATTTTGTTATATTCAGATCATTTATAACAAAAGCTGCATTAATTGTTTTGTTTGTTTGTCTGTGTTTAGCCACCAAGAAGCAGAAAACCTCAAAAATTATAAAGGCAGCTATACTCGCAAACATCTGCCTATTTACTTATCAAGCAGACGCAAAGCAACATTAATATTTATTCAGGATGATGTCTCTAGTTACTTGACTCCAGTTACTCTCCTTTTAGCTCTGATTTGGTATCCACCAACAAAAAAAAACTCCTAATGAATGGACGACTTTCTTCACCAAGTTTATTACGTAAAGCAGTTACCTGATGTGGCTTTATGACAGCAGTAAAACTGAACCATTCAGAGAATGTGCCTCAAAACTAAAACAGGCTAAATACTGCAGAAAACAACAGAGTTGGTAATAATTCTCTCTTTTTGGCACTATGTGGGACTCCATACACATTATATTTAAGGCTTTGATCCAATGTTACTATAAAAAGTATTAACAAGTTGGTGCTTTAAAATGTGTGTATATTAAGGTTATTATTTATATGGAGCCAAAGTCTGTGTGAACTCGAATAATTCAGTCTCATAATACAACAGCAAAGGTGATGTAAACACCTCAGTCTAATTGTGTTATTTATTATATTAATGTATTTATTATATAAGGTCATTTTCTGTTGTTCTGTTGTGTGAGTGTGTGTTCAGTCCATCACTGTAAATGCATGTGACACGTGTGTGCCTGTGTAAGCAGGTATGGTGTGTACCAGACCGAAGAGGTGACTGACTGATGGCTCCCACAGGTGAGTGGCTCCTCCTGGGTGATCGCATGCTATATAAGGGGCCAAAATGATGGTGATGTTTGTAGGGGTGGGCAGCTGGTTTTATTAATCACGATTACCCCTGTTTATTTCAGTACAGACGGTTATCTTGACATTTGTCTTCTTTGATTTGATATATTTGTAACATTAGGAACATTGGCATTCATTGGGATTTGTGTTTTTGTCCACCTGACGAACACTCTCATTTTATCTCTGGTTTGGTCTTAACCAACTCCTGAGAAATAAAAACAAATCTGGGTCTTTAGTTCTGAAGTAGATTTTCTTCACCAAGTAGTTCCTGGCAGAGTTTATGTTCTGAAAACAGCTGCCTGCTGCTGATGAGAACTTGGATCATTAGGGGATGAGATGTAATCATCTAGTAAATGTGATGTAAAAAGTACAACAATGAGCAAGAAACAATGAAAAGAGTTTAAAAAGCTTCATAGAGCCACAGTGTTGGGTAATGATTCTCTGTGGGTTTGCCTCAACAAGCAACTCTTTTAACACTGATCCACCATTAATCTGAAGAATGTTGACCTCTGAGCTGAGTTACCACAGTGGTTTCGGTTTACACTTTCAGTTTATTTCGATAAGTAAACCCTGATTTCCTTCACATTTGTGGTTGGTATGAATCAAAGGAAGCTGACTTGCAGAGCTTGTTTGGACAAACAAATCTGTCACATCACGTCACAGGTTCTTTCTAGAAGCTTCTGCTTTGGATGACTACACTGGAGAGTATCTACATGTACAATATAAAAAATAAATACCGCAATGATGACTAAATATTCCAACTTTGTTGTCTGCTAAAATCAAAACCACGCTCTGACAAACAAGACACACCTTTATGTGGTTAACAGATATTTGTGTCATAAGTCATCTCAGGCTCTGGGTGACAGTGGCTAAAAAAAAATCTGTATTATTATCTGATGTTTGTTTATCCTTTATTTTCCTTTGGGACACAGGTAAACATAATGGCTTTGAATTATTGTGCCAAACAGCACTTTTCAGAACTTCAGTCTATATATCTGGAGATTCTTCCCAAAACACCAGCCTTTTCTGACTGGTGGTGGCAAACATTTTTAAGCCATAATTTAAAAACAATGTTATCACCCAGGACAGTTAAAAGATACTTTCAAAGTTATTGAGTTGTCACCATCCAAAAGCCACCCACTGACTTTCAAAAGCAAAGAAGTGAAAGTGGTTTCTGTCTCTTTTAGTGGTTTTGATGTGACATAAGAGAGGCGGAAATGTCAGGATAAAACAACTTATCACAGGAACAAGCAGCTTTCAGATTATTAACATGTGACAAATGGAAAGTTGAGACCAAGAGTGATTCCTTTGAGGACCAAGTCTGCCGCTTTTAGTTACAATAGCACCTTATCTAGCCTACATTTACTGTTTGCTTGCTGTGATGTGTGTGATGCTTTCTGGATAATGAATAAAAATCATCATTTACATAATTTACAATAGGACCTATTAAATATACTTCATGATAAATTTCCAGAAAATCAGTAACTAAACATATTTCTCATTTTTTTATTTGAAAAAACTGTTGATAATGTGACAACAAGGAACAAGAAATTGTGGGACGGCATTATCTCCTTTTCTTTCAGAAAGAATGGTCCAGTGTACCCGATGCTAAAGTTTGCTTTCCGACCGCAGCCCTGCCCTTTCCGAACCATTTTTCCTTGACCTTGATGGAAAACATCATGAGATCAAGGAAAGATGTGAAGGAGAATTCACAAGGACTTAGGGAAAGACAACCGCGGGGCTCAGAGAATCTGACTGCTCTTTTCTAGGTGATGTAATTATGCGACGGCGGATGTTACTGACGTGACCTGCCGTGATGAAACTACAATGTTCAGAAGATGGACTACAAAAAGCACATCTTTGACACTGCACTCCATGTTGTTTTAATGCAGGCCATCTAAAGCTGGACAACACGGTGGAATATATTAGCCTACTTCATAATCAAGATGGCAAAAAGGCCTATAGGGTAGGCCTACCAGTCACCAAATAATGGAAAGGGTTGTCACATTGAGAATGCTTGGTCACACTCACCCTCCTGCCCAACCATATTTATCAACATGAATCCCAATTATTGTATTGTTACGACCCATGGGCCGTTTATGTGTATAAGGGATGTTGTTCTTGTGTGTTTTCCCTCTCTGCCCTAAGTAGGACCTTGCCTCGCCCCCAATGCTGCAGCCAGCAACCTGAGGAGCGCGGCTGATTCCACTCTCCTAATCAGTGGAGAGTAGGGGGGGCTGGTGAAGGAAGCCACTGAGGGTGAGAGTACGGTGGTCTACAGTGAAAGAGACGGTGTTACAGAGTGTTTGGAGTCTCTGGTGAGTGTGTGGCAGTTGGCAGAGACAGTAACCAGCAGTGGCAACAGTGGGAGTCCCGCGGTTAAGTGTAGTGATTTACTGTTTTTTGTTTGCACTGTTGGCTTGTGTGTGCCAGTTTGCCATCACTACTTTTGCATTTATCCAATACCTTAGTTCCCTTTTAAAAAGGACCCTTGTTGCTTAGGTTATAGAAAATTCTAATAACACTTTTATAGCACACCCGAAACACATTATGGTGTTGAAACTGCAGTAGATTACAACAAAGCCAAAATAAAACAAGCCAAAAGAAATATGGAAATTGTAAGTGTCTTATTCAAGTATTAAAATAGATAGGATTTTGCTAAATGTGGTCAATGGATTTTATTGTTTGAGTTTGAGAACGTGTCACTTTAAATGTTGCTGCCACAAGGAACTGTGGGACGGCATTATCTCCTTTCCTTTCGCAAAGAATAGTCTGGTGTATGCTAAAGGAGATAAGAAGGGAAGCATAACTTAACTTTTAGAGAACAGCTCTTATCATGGCTGCCACTTCAATACTTCCGGGTCACTTCACTCAGTTAGGAACCTCCCTAAGCAAAAAAGACTTTTCGACCGCAGCCCTTGTGTGTTTGTGTTGTGGGCGTGTTGCGTTCCGGACACCTGGCTCTTCGCCACACCTGATGGCATTCTTCTCATCTGCTTTCTGCTGAAATACTCCTGGCATCCTGTCATTTGTCATTGTTTCCTTCTACTCAATGGTGTGGTAGCTCACGGCCAAAACCCTTTGTAGTGCAATTGCAAGTGTTTTTGTGACTGCTTTCCTTCATGCCTTTGTTAAAGTAACATTGTGCAAAATGTGTTCTTTTGTGTGATTTGGCGCCCCTACAGTTCAGTAATGTAATCCACTGCTGTTGTAATTAAGGACATCTGTACACATGCATTTGTTATAATTACATTACTTATGATCAAAAACTAGTCCACAACTTTGCTTACACAGCCAAACATCAAGTACGTGTGACAGCACAAGAAAGCAATACTTTACTGATCCTAAATAAGGAATACCAGCTTGGTAGCCTTCTATTTCATAAAATTCTCGCCGATGTCTGGGAGCCTCTTGCTTGTTCACACTCTTTTTCTCTAGCTTCTTCTGTAAACGTCCTCTTCTGTCTCTTCCCCTTCTCGCTTCCTCCGACAGTGTCTTCTATTTCAGTCTCTTCGGAGACTCTGCCATGATATCCATTCTGAGAATACCGAGCTAGCTTCTTCCAAAGAACTTACATTGTACATTATATCCTTTTTGCTTCTTCTTATAGCTTGCTAGCTGAAGAGTCGTGTTGCTGTGTGACATCATGCCGTAAAGTAATATGCCATTGTCATGGTAAATGTCCTGCCCAGGATTCTAGTGTTTGCTGCGGGCCCAAACTGGCATTGACAGAGACGCCATTCACCCTATTACAAGTCAGTGTACCATCAAAAAGATTTTCAAGCTGTTTTTTCAAGATATAATTACTACATAATGTTGCTTCAGTATTCTGGTGCCCGCATCTCAAGTCAACCTGCAACTACTCAACGTTTCAACTCAAACCATCTCTGCTCACATTTCCACCAGACTGCTGTTCTCCTAAAAACATCTTTACTGAGTCTGTGTCCACCCTTGGGTCTGTTTTAAAACAAAACCTAACAATTTTGACATGTTTAGTTAATTAACCTATTGTTTGTTTCACAAACATCAAATAAATTATGATGCATTTTCTTGATGAATTGTCACTGTATAAATGACCCATAAATAAGGCATCTTGTCTTTGCAGCATGACTAAATGGATAAACAAATGAAGGTGGATGAATTCGACTGTCTCCTGTAATAGAGGTGACGGAATTAGTTCAATGGGAGTAGGAAAACAGTGTCTCACATTAACATTGTGTAACAAATTTTTCCCCCAGTGTTAATTTTGTATTTATTTATTTATTTATTTGTATTGTTTTCCCCTCCAACAGTGACAAGATTGTGCTGATGCATTTTCTACCACCAGATGTCAGCATCAACCAATACCTTCACCTGTGATCAGACTGTAGATGCTTGATAATGATAGACTGACCTTCTCAATATCACAATGACATATCTATGATTCATCCAGGACAGACCAGTGTAGCTGTAGCAGAATTACAATGTAGAGAAGCAGAATTACAATATACAAAGGCAGCAAAGTTGCAACTCTACAAACTACAAGAAACTTAAAAGGACAGAATGTGATATACAGTCTGCAAATGAAATATAGCATTTTTTTTGAAAAGTTACTTTAGGACTGAAAATTGCTATATATATATATATATATGCATTCACAAATATTCCCTTACAAATTAAGTTCTTCTGCTCTCACTATAATACGTGTGGGAAGAAACTGTGACATTGTGAGAACAGTAGTGTTAAAGATAGCGATAGAAATAAAAAAGCAAATTTTAATGGTGAAATGTAACTAAGTACTCTTAAGTACAAATTTAAGCTACTTTACTTGAGTATTTCCATTTTATGCAACTTTATAGGCAAATATTGTACTTTTTCCTCCACTACATCTGACCTAGTTACTGGTTACTTTTTGGATTACAATGTTTCATACCCTTCCTGTCCAGTAAAAACCATGTATTTTCAAATTTGGTGATTTTGAGCTATATGTATATATTTTTCTCATAAACTAAATGATTAAGTGTTCCTTTATGGGTTGAGAAAATTCAGTTTTTCTTGAATTCTTTTAGAGATATGTGGTTCTCACAGGACAGCAACTACAGCATTTACAGCAGTAAAATGCTACATACACATTAGTGCAACAGTAATATTAATCCAAAAACATTGTACATAATAGTAAAAAACAAGCAGGGATAATTTTTCTGCATAATAATTTTACTTTTGATATTTAAATACATTTTGCTGAAATGCATTTGAAGTGCCTTTCATGTAACCCAAGGCCACTTTAAATTTTAAAAAACAAAACAAAAAACCTCTATATTAATAAAAAGATTGGATAAAAAGATTAAGAGTCAGATTGGGAAACTTTAGGCAGGGAGGGCTCTCCAGAGCATAGGAGCAGGAGCAGTGAAGGCAGCCAGATGTGAGGAGCGGTTCAGTTGTAAAAATTAAACTGTCACAGTAACAAGAAAAAGAAATATGGACTAAACTTTTTAGTTACATTGTTCCTCATGCCTGGTGGAAACGATGTATCACCAGTACAATACAGCAATTAATCTAGTAGCACAAGACTAAAACTAAAGAGAGAATCATAACACCAACAGCTACATTAACAGCTACACATAATGTATTAGCAACACGTTAGGCTCAGACAGCTAGTGTAATGGCTAGCTTGGTTAGCACAATACTGACTGCAGAAAAAATAATTTGATAATCACAGATTAACTACAGTAAGAGAATGGTCCAACAAGGATGGATTAAAGATGCCTGTCAATATTTGCTTGATCTGGATGTAACAAGGTGAGTCAAACTGTAATTGCTTAGGAGCTTTGTTAGCAGCGGCTGCTACTTGACTGAAACTAATGAATGACACAAACGACAAAACAGCAGATGTGAAACATCATAAAACGAATCAAAAAAGATGAGAGCTATAGTGTATGTTAAAAAGGTCAGGTTACTGTGCTGGTTTATTGCACATACTGTTACACTGAATAGGACGCAATGCAATATCTCTAATGGAAACCTACTAATCTCCCCTTGCTTTCACAACAGTAAGTCATTATACATAAATACCTTCAAAATGACCCATATAACCCTTACAGTGCTCAACACCTGGCGTCTGTTCAGCAGTGATATTAACATGAACAAGATGAATGTCAAAACAGTCCCAGTGTTATTCTGTAAGAAACCATCTGTAATCGAACAGTTATTGTAAAGAACAAAAAATACAAAGCAAGACCTAGATACTTCATAGACTCCAATGAGAAGACAGTGTTACAATGTTATGAATGCTGTGTGATGGAGGTGGGTGATACTTTTGTGCTGTGTAGAAAGATGAAGAGCAGATTCTTCCAGCACGTCTCATAGCAATGTCTCTTTGTGCAGCATCTTCACTGCTTCAAGCTTTCTTACACAGGTGCATGTTACCATTCCAGGAACATTTTGTTTAGTTTATTCCAGTGACCTGCAAAGTCCCAGATACTGACCCAATAAAGCACATTTGACATAAAGTGGGACAGGATGATTGCAGCATGACCACGCTTTGGGGTAAAACTGCATAAATTGTGTCACACAAAAGATTTCCTATGAGTAAACACTGTTGGCAGCTTTTCTTTTGCAGGTAACTGCTGTTTTTAATTTTGTCACCCAAACAAATATGTGTGACATAAAAGAGTCTTTGGCAGGGGACTGACATTCATCAGATTTCTCACAGGTTCATTGATAAACCTCACTGTGCAGTGCTATGAATATTAACGATAACTTTGCTCACCAAAGCAGAATATAAAAAGATGAAAATTGGTGTTTTAGCCCCAGCCTTTTCAATAACACATCACTGCTTGCTCCTCATTGGAACAAAGCAGAAAAACAGAGACCTTCCACAGGGATGACATCATCATCCAGTCGTGAGCTGGAACGTCTGCCGCCCCAAAAATCCAGACTTACACAAACAGTGAGACAGATAAAGGAAACAGGCACAGAAATCACAGAGGCACACAAATCATCAGGCCTTTCAGAAAATATCTTGAAAGATGCACAAAGGAATTCATTGGATTTAATTCCATTGTTTCTTTGACATTTCTCGGACGCTCAGCGTGTCCGATCTGTGTTGGAAATGGTTCACTTGAATGAGGTCCTTGATGTAATCCGCAAGATTTTTCACAGCCTTCACAGATGTCACTGCCTGTTTTTCTCTATGCAACAAAACCATTAAACTCAAGTAGAATGAACCAGTTTATCTTTCCTGTAAATAATTTTGGTAAATGAGTTTGTAAAATCCATATTGTATTTCTTGACTGCACTGTAATTTGGTTTGCAGAATGCCACCACCAGCAATTACATGGTCTGTAAACATTGCTGAAGATGATCCCATGACTGAAATGTTCACTTCTTTGACACATTTTTGACACCTTTTGCACATGATGCATATCATTTATTTTGCATATGAAGATCATCTTCTACTTTTTTTTGTCAGTGCGCAGCCAATTTCCCTATGGGATGGGACTGCTCTTTTCTACACATATGTGACACTACTTCTTGAAAAGCCTGGAGTGCACAAACTCTTTCACATTTGTAGATTGCAAAAAGGAAAATGTTGATGTAATGTTCTGTAACAGTTCATTTATTCTTGCATTTGATTGCTGCAGAATTGTGTGAGATGAGTGCACATTCAAATCTGGACAGAAGGCCCTGTGCCAATTATAATCACTCTCTTGTGACTTTCAGTGATCCAAAGCAAGTTTTAGGCTGAATTGAAGAAGGGACTTGCCACACACCAAGATACTCAGTTCTGGGCCAACTAACAAGTAAGTTATATTTATTAAGTGGAAGAGTGAATGTCTGTTAGGAGAATCATACATGATTGTGTAGTGAAACAAAATTACACAAGCAGTTGAAAATCTTGAAAATGCAATGAGCAAACAGTAATGTCTGGAAATTTCAGGATTCATTATTTATTATATAATTTCATCCAGCCGGGAGAGGAAGTTTTCCATGTTTGTTTAAATAACCCTATGAAAGGCATGTTTTGGATATTAGGGAAAATTTATCTCTTGCCCCCAGCAGCATTTGCCCTGTTAGAGATGCCACATTAGCATTTAATAGGTGTTAGAAGTCAGACAGGAGGATAGCAATTGCCAGTTTTTGTAGATTTACAGCAATGTGGAACAAAAAGGCCACTGGCTAACTTCACCATAATCTTTGATCTTCCTGTACAATACCTCAATGTTAACTTCAAGGAATATTTTCCCACTGGTTATATCATTCTCCATAAATGCCCAGCTATAACCTACTGTGTCTAGGAAATGTCTCAAAGGCTCAATTTCATTTGAGAATCTGGAGTCATTCAGTATTTTTGTGAAAAATGGAAAAAGTTATGTATTCAACACCTCTTCAAGTTCATTGTGGGAGAACAGAATTGGAAAAGCTTTGTTTCATGACACCAAAACCAAAAAATATTTACGTCATATGCTCATTTTTATGGTTGCTTTGGAAATAGCTGTGCAGTGTGTCTCTGAAAGGGCTTTTGACTATCAAGGAGTGTTAACAACTAATGTATTTTCCTTGAGTTCTTTACTTTACTGAGGAAATCGCCTCCCTATATAAACAAATAATTCAAACAACAAATTACAGGACCAAAACCAGAAAGCCACAATACCAATAAAGCAAACCATAACAAATAAAACTTTTAACATGCACAGTATGTAAAACAGCAGGAAGAATGAGGTATGGAGCTTAAAACAAAATTGTTTAACGAATGATAAAAACTAGTTTAATAAGGTGTGGGCATGTTTTGAAGAGTAGTGTAACTACATTAGCTTTTTAAGGGCTTCAGGTTCCATATTTTTAAAAAGGCCCTGTTCACAACGACAAAATCCACTTTAGTCTTTCCCAATAGTGTGGAAACCAGTCCTTGATGCTGTCAGACTTTAGGCTAATGTTAGCAGCTCTCTCCGTTCATTATTGAATTTGGGGAAGTTTACACTCCAGCAGTTTGCCAAGCATATCTGTTGGCCCTCAAAAGCTTTTCTCTTGTAGCATTAGTGAAACATAAATCATAACTTCTGTCTTACAGTAAGCAGCCAAGCATGGATTATGTTAAAATAAACTTTTAGTTTGATCTTCCATTTTTCCATATCATACTTACTAACTCTACACTGAAATAAAAGGAAAAAATAATTTCAAGGGTATCATTGGGGTGGTGGGGAGGAGGCTGACTTTTTGCCTGAGACATGCAGCTTTAGCCTCAGTCTATTACATAGCTTGATAGCTATGACATGCAGAACCTGATTTTGTCTATTTCTGTCTGAGATCAAGGACCTATTGTTTAAAGAAATACAAAGAATTGTAATAGTAAATCTGCTATTGTAATTATCATAAACTGTATGAGTTGTGATGTGCAAGAACAAAAAGTTTGACAGAGGTGAAAACAGAAACTTATGGGGGCTGGGCTTCATGCATGGTTGGGGTGGCAATGGCACACTGGATAAGACAAATGACTTTGGTGTGGGAGACCTAGGTTTGATTCCCGCTAGGTTTGATTCCCACTGTGACACAGCAAGACAACCCTTAGTTGCTCCAGAGGACTTCTGATATACAAACAGTAGCAATAGTAAGTTGCTTTGGATAAAAGCGTCAGCTAAATGACTAATTAATGAAAGGGCTCATATACTGTATATTGCAAGTCCAAGGGGACCTAAAATGGCAATATTACATCAGGACCATGTTGGAAAATGAAACAAGAATAATATTAGGGAAAAAGGAGTCTTTCACACCGCTGAAATTTCTGTCTCAGTCAAGTACAATGTG